TGAATAGAACAGAAATGAATGGAATGGAATAAGAATAGAGTAGAATACAATAAAATACAATAAGAATAGAATAGAAATGAATAGAATATAGAACAGAATAGAATAAGAGTAGAGTAGAATGGAATAAGAATAGAATAGGGAATGGAAATAGAATAGAATGGAATGGAAGAAGAATAAAGTAGAAGAGAATAGAGTAGAAGAGAATAAGAAGATAATAGAAATGAACAGAACAGAATAAGGAACAGAATAGAATACAACAGTAAACTTTATTGTCACCTTGAATGTACACTAATCGTCATACATTAAAATGAAGTTTTCTTGCCTGCAGCGCTCAGAGGATCAGAGAAGGGGGAAGATTCAGTGCTACCAGCAACTGGACCCCTCAAGTGGTATAAACAGAGCTCGTATTTTACACCCAGCAGTGGTAGGAATTCTTCCCTGATGCCTTCTTGAGTTTCTATACAGGTCGTCCTCAACTTACCAACCAAGATCACTGTTATGAAGCGAGACGTTTGTTAAGTGAGCTTTGCCCCGTTTTATGACACTTCTTGTCACCGTTGTTAAGCACTGGAGGGGGGGGGGGCTATAAATGACCGAGCCATTTCAGTCTCTTGCTACCTATGACCGTAGTGGCCAGGCTCCTTTACGGTCGTATGTCGAGGGCGACCTTTACACAACTTGCACGAACGACAAAAATGCCAGTTGAGAGAACTCACGTTCGGGGTGAAGGAGCTTCCAGAGATCATGAATCTTGTCCAGTCCAAAAGCTTTAAGACCCTAATGAGAAAAAAAAAAGAAGAGAGAGAACAATATCATGTAGAGCCCTGTGAGATGGGAGTTGTAATCTGACGCACAGTCATAATTACCTGTCTATATTCTGGGGCTCCTTAACAGGCTTCAAATAGTAAGGTGTATCTGCAGAATTCACTGTTTGTGCAACACGCTGACCAGCATGGCAGCCTTCCAGGATTTAAAAGGCTGTCACAGAGAAGACCTTGTCAGGAGGGAGAGGAAGGAGGGAGGGAGGGAGGAAGGAAGGAGAAAGAATTAGCAAGGGAAAAAAGTGAAATGAAAGGAAGGAGGGAGAGAGAGAGGGAGGAAAGAAAGAAGGAAACAAGTGGAGGGAAAGAAGGAAAAAAGTAGAAGGAAGGAGGAAAGAAGGAAGGAAGGAAAAAAGGGAGGAAGAAAGGAGAAAGAATTAGCAAGGGAAAAAAGTGAAATGAAAGGAAGGAGGGAGAGAGGGAGGGAGGAAAGAAAGAAGGAAAAAAGT